CTTTGACCCTATAAAGGTCAAGGTCATCAAAGGTCAAGGTCAAGAGATATACGCCATCAAATATTGAAAAAATTCAATCGCAAATTGCAAAAAAGCAAAATCGAAATTCAAAAATCGGCTTCCTGCGATCTCTCTTAATTTTTATGTTCTTTCATTTGACACCAAAATTTTGAAATTCGGTTCAGCCAAATTGGCTGAATAAAAATCGAAGAGTTTCAGGGAAATCAAAATGGCGGCCAAAGTTTCACGTCTGTTCCGGATTTTTTTTTCTTCGTTTTTTGGTCATAACTTTGTCTATCTATCAGCATGAATTTTTTTGTCCTATACAAATTACACCGGAAGATATTCAACCGGAAGTGAACATCGATTTCCTGTTTAAACCGGAAGTGAAATTGAAACTTTTACTGTACCATTTTGTTTACTTTCTTAAACTGTCTTTGCTCAATTTTTTTCAGATTAATCAGACAAAAAGCAAAAAAAATGAAAAAAATGCAAAATTTGGCAAAAAAAATGTCTGCGACAAATTTTCGAATTTTGAAATTTTTAAACTGCTATTCTTTCAGATTTTGCCAGTAGATTCCAAAAAAGCAAACCCAAAGAAAATCGACCGAAAAATACGACTTCTAGAGCCGATTAACTATTCTTGCACCTATTGAACTGTGGCACTTCCGGTTTTGCAAAAAAGATCCAAAATATATTTATGCACATCGTCGCCTATATCTAAGGTTCGTGAATGTTGAATGGTTGCTGCAACATGATATTATTGATACTGTATTTACTACATTTGATAAACAACTGATTGTATCTATGAATTAAATTAGTAAACACCAGTATATATACCAGGATGATTTAAATCTATAATAACAAATAACATGATATTATTTGATAAACAACTGATTGTATCTATGAATTAAATTAGTAAACACCAGTATATATACCAGGATGTTTTAAATCTATAATAACAAATAACATGATATTATTCATACTGTATTGACTACATTTGATAAACAACTGATTGTATCTATGAATTAAATTAGTAAACACCAGTATATATACCAGGATGTTTTAAATCTATAATAACAAATAACATGATGATATTGATACTGTATTGGCTACATTTGATAACAACTCATTGTATCTATGAATTAAATTAGTAAATATCAGTATATATACCAGGATGTTTTAAATCTATAATAACAAATAACATGATATTATTTGATAAACAACTGATTGTATCTATGAATTAAATTAGTAAACACCAGTATATATACCAGGATGTTTTAAATCTATAATAACAAATAAAATGATATTATTTGATAAACAACTGATTGTATCTATGAATTAAATTAGTAAACACCAGTATATATACCAGGATGTTTTAAATCTATAATAACAAATAAAATGATATTATTTGATAAACAACTGATTGTATCTATGAATTAAATTAGTAAACACCAGTATATATACCAGGATGTTTTAAATCTATAATAACAAATAACATGATATTATTTGATAAACAACTGATTGTATCTATGAATTAAATTAGTAAACACCAGTATATATACCAGGATGTTTTAAATCTATAATAACAAATAAAATGATATTATTTGATAAACAACTGATTGTATCTATGAATTAAATTAGTAAACACCAGTATATATACCAGGATGTTTTAAATCTATAATAACAAATAAAATGATATTATTTGATAAACAACTGATTGTATCTATGAATTAAATTAGTAAACACCAGTATATATACCAGGATGTTTTAAATCTATCATAACAAATAACATGATATTATTTGATAAACAACTAATT